ATCTGAGGATTTGTAGTTTAATGAGGGACTACAGCTCTCTAGGTAGGAATTTTAAGCATCCTGAAAAACTGCAAAGCCCAAAATAGTATTATTTGAAGGTCTCTTTGACAGGCAAATACTTCACAGGCCAATTAAACAATTGACAATTTTAATTAATGCATCAAACTGTTTCAAAGTCCATCTGGGAATAGGAACTCCTCTTATATAATATCCTTGAGGAGAACTGCCTCTGTTTCAAACCTCTATAGTAGAAACAAAACACAAACATTTAATTTATCTGCTTGTTCATTTTACAAACGCACCTATTGCCCTACAGTCGATAATACTTTCCAGGGTGGCTTACAGAATAACACCAACAAAATTGTAAAAATACAATAAAAGTACAAAACCCAATGGCCCTAATTTAAAATTAGTGTCAGCAATGTCTCCACTCCTTGAAACACAATATATCGTTGCAGTGTTTCTGTCAAGTTGTTTACTGACACATTTTGACTGGCTGGAACATTACTGTGGCTTGCTGCTCATGTAGGAATAAATGGTCTGCAAATGTTTTTTAAATGAGCTGTAAATGCGATCAAATCTTAACTGAAGCTGGTTTTTTAAAAAAAATAAAAATCTTTACAATGTGTTTTCCAATGTACAGGTTTCATCAACCAACTGTTGCATTAAGACCCATAAAGGTCTTACCAAAGCAGGATGAAAAGTCCATGTTACCAAGTATCATGTTATGTTGACTTGGCACCATTTGTGAAACTGTAGCATTATAGGAAGAGCTAATCCTGTCAGCCAGAATGGCAGAACAGCTGTCATGGAAAAAACGAGCTCAGTGGACTTCAAACTTCCTTCTCTTTCTTAGTTTCATTGAAATTAATGAGAGTGACTTTGGAACCAAGTCATTTGAGGTTTGTCATAATACGCTTTCTGGTAGGAAGTCATCTCAAAATCAGTGTGAAATATAATGCTGCCATCTCTTTAAAGAGAAAAAAAAATTAAATGTAAAAAAATAGATAAATAAAATAGCACTAAAAGATGCCCCCTCCATATATCTCCGAAATTAATATATGCCAACGTCTTAAATTAGGAAACAGCTTCCCAAGATCTACTTAGACACTCACAGGAATACCTCTGCAAGTGAAAGTCCAAAAGTGGCAGCCTAAAACCCGGAATCTCAATCAGTGGCTGAGACTGGATGAGAAACTCCCTCCTGGGCACACAGAAGGTGGGCAACATGGAAGGTACTGAACAGTCTGGCACCATGAGATGCAGAGCTAATCTTAAGAAATGGGGCTGCAAAGTGGAGCCTGTGACATGCGAGTGCAGAGAAGAGAAAACTATAGACCACGTACTACAATGCAACCTGAGCCCTGCTACATGCACAATAGAGGACCTACTTATATTGACACCAGAGGCACTCCAAGTGACCAGCTTCTGGTCAAAGGAAATTTAGCATAATGCCAAGTTTTTAAACTTTGTTTTTGGTTTTTAAAAATACATTATAACTGTATTTTCAATTCGCTTCTGACACATTAAATAAATTAATAAATGTACCCTCAGCTTCATATACGATCTCTTCAAACATGCTACCGGAATTGCTATGGATTGTGGTGATTCCGGCAGTGCCCTTCCAGGGGCCTGAGGAACCTGTCATCCCACGCCCCGCATCACCTGACTCACTGAAGTCCCCATCCCACTTAGCTTTCCCTGTTCATCCAAAGTATGCACCTGTAAGCCTTCTCCTTTATGACGAAGCTGGAAGTTGTAGTGTGTTATAGGATGGGAGCCGGTGGGCTCCATCGTAAAAGGATAGACCAAGCGGTGCATGCAGCTGAATTCACACTAATGTGATGAGGTTATTATTCTATATACTCATGAAGTCTAGAAATTTTAGTTAAAAAATCAACCCAAAAACCTGGGGATCAATATACATCATGTCACCTTCACTCTTATCACAAAAAGAACCCCCTCTTTCCCTGAGTAGAGCGGCAATAGCCTAGACTGTCTTTGGAGAATTTTAAGCACCACTCCTCTCTACTCTCTCTGCCACTTCTAGGCATTTTGAATTCTTGGGCAAAGAAATGGCAGTGGCTTTCACAGGCAGCAGAACCCCTGAGGTGGGAATTGGGGCTCTTTCTGCTCCACAGAACAATCCTCACTTTATCAACAAGTCATATGAACAGCCAACATGTTGGCCCCGAAACCTTCTCTCAACTTCAGAAGACCAGCTTTATGAGTACATACAATTCTAAGTTATTCCCTTAGGGCTTCTTGTACATGTAACAATTGTTTATCCCATTGAAAATAATAAGATTTCACTATTATTCCCAATTTCACATATCCACGCAACGTCCGGGAACCTACTCTCTGTGGATATAGTATTTAAAATAACATTAGAGAATCAAGATTACAAGGCAACCAAACAATTACAACTATTTTTAATAGTCTCTGTTAGAGTTAGAAACTTGGCAACTGTCAAAGTAATTCAGGGATTATTTTTACTTAAAAATTAATTGTTCTACCAGCAGGAACTTAATTGTATTTCCATGGATAAGAAGGTAGAAATTAGAAGACAGGCATGCTTTTCCATTTCCATCTTGATGATTCCATTGATAAATCATAGAGACCACTCAAATGTTCTATCTAGACCGGAAAACAGGGAAATAAGTCCTATAGGCCTTTCATTATTGTCTTATATAAAATGGTTTAGATTGCCAGATGTCTAAAAATAGTACTCATACATAACATGAAAAGAAAGAAATGAAGCTTATCCTGATAGCACAGGCCAAACGTTCGTCATGTCCAGAGTATTTTTTCAGTTGATACATTTATTTTAATGGCACATTCAGAAGAAAAGCCGGAGAGAATTCCATTCTACAGATTTTCTGGGTAGTTGTTTTTTGACTGAATACTCCAATAGCTGTCCCTTGGAAGCAGAGGTAATGGATCAAATTATAAAGGCATGAATTTGAAGCTATGCTTTTAATGTGGTCAGCCATGCATTAACATCTTATAGGCACTGGCAGGTTTTCAATCAAATCACACACATGCTAGTCTTGCACAGTGAATAAAATTTGATTTGTACTTCCAAAGTATTTCTGCTAAGGATTGATAGGTGTTGAAAAGGCCTTTGGTTCTATTATAACTCCCAATTGGAATAGATGTATTGAACAAATGGGATTTACTTGTGTGTTGATTTATCATTGAAACATTAATTCAACAAGTCGATTCCAATTGGGAATAACCAATAGCTAATGCCTGATTCCCTTGATTAAAAATAACAAATACCCCCCCCCCCCCGCCCCAATCATTTTCTGGACAATTTTAAATTTGTCAGTAGATCAAGGCACAATATAATGAAATGTAGCTTCCAAGTATTTGGTGATAAATATAGTAATACAAACCTTTTATTTCAGACAAGCCTTTTCCTTGGAATTTGCCCCCTTTTGTTATTGAAGTCCAACACTCACAGATATACTTTTACAAATCTATGCAATAATAGCAATATGATCTGGATCCCGATATTTACTGAAGGGGCATTTTTCTGCTTTTATCTGTTATCCTTTTTACCACACATGACATTTTACTTCCTTCTTGGTGGCATTTGGGAGAAAACTGTATAAGAAGAAAATCAGATTATTTATTTATTTATTTATTTATTATTTACTATATTTATATTCTACCCCTCTCAACCCAAAGGTGACTGATAATAAAAGGTGCTGGAATAAAAGGGAGGAGATGATCTTTGTGGCCCTTCTGCTATATTGAGATGTGGCTTTGGAGACTACCTGAGGAGTTTAAAAAAAAAATCACACACACACACATAAAAACCAGTAGAAATCAGAATGTAGAAACTTGCTTTTCCATGTATACCTCTCTTTCTGAATAAGGAGCCGGGCTTTAGCACAGCAGGTTAATCGCCAACTGCAGTAAATCTTGCCAACTGAAAGGTTGACAGTTGGAAGCCTGGGTCGGGATGAGCTCCCGGCCTTTAGCCCAGCTTCCGCCTACCTACCAGTTTGAAAGCAAAATATGAGTAGGCAAATAGGTACTGCTTAAAGTCGGGAGGTATTTAAGGCATCCATAAGGAAATGCCAGAAAATGCTTGTGATTCGATCAAGGAAGAAATTTATGAACAAAAAACTCTTCGACAGGGAAGGTGGGGTAACAGCACCCCCCCCCCCCAGCCGGAACCAAGCACAAGCCTCCAAGGTGCCAAAGATGGGAAAAGTCTATATATACCTCTATCTATGTACAGTGTTCTGTCTTGTCAGTGTGTAACGGCATTGAATGTTTGCCATATATGTGTTCTATGATGCGCCTGAGTCCCCTTCGGGGTGAGAAGGGTGGAATGTAAATACTCAAATAAATAAATAAATAAATAAATAAATAAATAAAGATGGGTTGTCTCATGTCTATTGAAACATGTGGCATATTGATTTGTACATTGAAATTGAGAAGAAGTGCTATTCAGAAATTAATAAAAGTAGGTGTGATAGTCATGTAAGAAGTAGTAACCCCTCCACTACTGCATGCATCATTTTGAGTGATGATGTTGTGAGAAGGAAAACTTGCAGCTCTGGAGGTTTTTGATGAGAATCGTCGGGATTCCAAACTGTATGGAGCACATCCATATGAACAGAATAAATATTTGTCTTCAAAATTTTATCCCACATGTTCTCCTTCCTTGTGTGTTTCATCAATCCAAATCTGTAACATCTGAAAAGGACTTTGTTTTTATGTGTCTTCATGTTTCCAACTTATGACAATCCTATAATGGGAATTGTTGTGGCTGAGAGTATATGACTTGCTCAAGGTAGGTTTCCATGGCTGAGCAAGGAATGACACCCTGGTCTCCAGAGTAATAGTCCAATGCTCAAATCACCACACCATACTGGCTGTCTTGAGTTGGAATAATTACTGCTTATTGCATGCTTTCCCTCCCTAAATTGTATTTAAACTGCCTCTTATATTTTAATTTCCAAAACCTGTATTTCTTTTTATAGGCATATGATGTTCTTGAAAAAGTAGAGACTTCTCTTCAAGTGCTTGACTCTGAAGATATAACCTTGTCTGCCTTGGCAATAAAACACCAGGAACTGGAGAAAGAACTACAAGATGGAACAGCTGATGCCTTGCAAAAGGGGCACACATTGCTTAGTAAAGGAAATACCCAAAGGTATGTTAAGAATTTAAATTAACCCCAGAGGCATTTTAAGGGTTCCATAGACAGGAATCACTGTTGGAAGATATTTCTCTTGGCACAGTTGTACTACGTCAGATGTCACTTTCTCTATAAGGTTATGGCCATAGGGAAGGTCAATCTAGGGAAGTATAGACAGTGATGAACTCTCACTCTGGAAATGCCTACATTGGAATTTAGGGTTCAATTTCTACTAGCTCCTTTGGTGATAGAGTCAGGTCTAGAATGACCTTCAGTGAATCAGTGTTGCATTGTTTCAAAGCAATTTGTTATTTCTCTTTCCAAGATTACTGAAGAATGGACTGTTATGGTGATGATTCTAAGCCTTATTGATAGTAATCCATCCAGAGTAGTATTATTTCACACTATATCATTATTAGACTATGAACCTCATCACATTTGCTGCCAGAATTGCCCTGTAAGGGATGAGATGAACCCACATCCCACATTGCTTGGCTTCCCCTTATCCCATCCCATGGGGGGAAGCATTCTCCACCCGTCTTCCCACTGTTGATACTAATGCAACACAGGCAGCCTCCCATGTTGCAGGAGCAGAGGCATACATTGGTTTCTCTTCAGTTTTGCCACAGAGCTCCCATTGTGGGATGGGAGCCAACAGGGTCTGTGGCAAAACAGAAGAGGAACTGGCATACACTGTCAAATTTGATCCGTCTGATGAGGTTGTATGATTCCATGGTTTTGTCCTGGATTGGTAGCTTTAAGGAGAGACATTTTGAGTTATCAGTCAGGAAACATCCTATGTTGCCATGACAAAGTGAGACAATAGTTCTATAATTATCGAGTATGAAATGGCCCTTAGGATTAGGCAGTGGATGTCACTATGACCACATGAATCTGTATTTACACCCATTAGGAATCATGCAAAAAGAAATTGCTATGCTACCCTGCATAACTTATGTGCAGCTGCAAGGAAACACAGTATTATTTAGGATACTAAGAAACATGAAAAGGCATGGAAAAAATGCAAGACGGTAAGATCCAGTTTTGAGGCCTGAATGCTAATAAGAACATTACATTCCCTTGCATCAGGAAGACAACAAGGGACATACTGGAGAAATAAGGCAGTTGGGATTGACAAAGAATAATGCTAATGTTAAGTGATCCTAAAGAGCACTGGGGCAGATCTAGAACAGGTTGGGTTGCTGTAAACTTTTCGGGCTGTATGGCTATGTTCCAGAAGCATTCTCTCTTGACGTTTCACCTGCATCTATGGCAGGCATCCTCAGAAGTTGTGAGGTCTTCGACAATATCTAGAATAGGTTGATTTTCAACCCAATGAAAATAAAAGTATCTAGTGGACACTCCTCTCTACATTTACAGGTTCTAAATGGACCTGTTATGAAATTTAGGGAAGTTCTTCCTATTACACCAATAATTCAGAGCATGTGAACCCCAAAGGCCTGTGCTGCTCCCTGTTTGAGTTTTCAGCATAGCTTCCCACATTGCAGAAGAGACAATTTATTTTTTAATTAAATTGTGGATTGCAAAAGTACAATTGTTCCAATTTTGAGTGTAATCCTTTTCCATACACTGAAATAGTTTTCATGGACAATAGTAATATTTTAATGAAATCTGGATTACTATATAATTGTGCAATATTTTGTAGCAGAAAATGCCCAATGTAAATTAACTGAATGTAAGAATGTAATCTCCTCTTTGTGTGCACTTTTTGCTATTATTAATTCTGTGTGGTAAACAACTGCAATGAACTGCCTCTGGTCTTTGCATTATTATAAATTGACACCCTGGAGCATAGAATGATTGTCAGTTGTTATATTTTTTTGCAAATTGACTTACTGCTTCTTTCAGTTTAAAACAACACCTTTAAACAAATAATGTGACACTGGGGGAATACAAATTATGTTGTTTTTAAGAAAGTAAAAAATTCTTTATGGAAAAAAATTTCCAATAAGAAATATGAAATGCTTTATGTTCTACATTTTTATTTTAGGTTTATTTTAATTGAATACCAGATTTTGATACATTTATTGAAATGAAGTATGGGCTGAGCATCCCTAATCCAAAAACCCATAATCTGAAATGCTCTAAAATTTGAAACTGGTTGAGACAGTGAGGCATTTGCTGTCTGATTCTTAGTGTACATGAACTTTATTTCAAACAGAAAGTTATTTAAAATATTGTATAAAAGTAACTTCAGGCTATGTGTGAAATAAATTAATGTCATGGTTTAGACTTGGGTGCAATCTTGAAGATATCTCATTAAGTATAGGCAAATATACAACCCCCCCCCCTCAAAAAATCCAAAATGTTTTTGTCCCAAGCAGTTTGCACAAGGGGTACTCAACTTGTAGTTTATTTGTACATATTTAACTCAAATTATTCGTGCATACCATTTCAAAGCAGGGGAGAGGAATAACATAGGTATCCAGGGCAAATCCTTCCCCTTCAACAAGGTCACACATCCTTAGAGAGTGAAACTTTTCAGTTTGTGGTTGTATCAGTTTTTTTCACTATAATGTGACGGATTATGATGAAAACAGAGCAATTTAGGTATTTCGGTTTGTGGGGGTGGAGAGTGGGTAAGGTGTTTGTACATTTGGGGTGTTTTGAGAATTATAATCATCCAAAAAAGAGCCATTAAAAATGGAGTTGGGGAGAGCTTGGGAGAATTGTTGAGGGCTTTGAGGGTAAAAAAACTGTGTTCTGCTTCTGTTTTAAAGGCTAATAATTTTAAATTCTTCCTTAAATTTTAGTTTGATAGAAAGCATCAAGTATTTTAAAAATCTGCTTACTAAAATTTCATTAAGCACAAAAAGGTTACTGTAGTATTTGTTGACATTTTTAGTTCTTCAGTGACTGGTGTCCAGGAAATGGTAGGTTCCATTCAGAAAAGAAGAGATCAATTGATGAAAAAGTGTCTTGGTCACAAAGAACATGAGTCAAAAAAGCAACCCATCACCACCTCTTTAGATGATTACGTCATCAAGGTAAGTGGAAACAAGGTTCTTCATTAACAAACTCTTTTGCAACCCATTTTATAGTTCTTAAATTTCACCAGGTAACAAATCACATCCAGTAGTGATGGGGGAGAATTTCATTTCACATTGTGATACAAACATAGCAAATTTATACTGTCTAAAGCAGTGGTTCTCAACCTGTGGGTCCCCAGATGTGTTGGCCTTCAACTCCCAGAAATCCTAACAGCTGATAAATTGGCTGGGATTTCTGGGAGTTGTAGGCTGAAATAAATGGGGACCCACAGGTTGAGAAGCACTGGTCTAAAGACATAGGTGAAGCACAATGAGTGTACACTGACCAGGAATATATGGAGCCAGTCTAGAACAGAGATGTTCTGAATTGGCCCCAGAGGCAGCCAAACATATACCTGAATCTGTGGCAACAGTGGGTTGGAGTCATACAATTCAACCAGGTCAAGACCACATTGGTCTCATTGCGCTGTCACCTTATATTCTGTGTTACTGTTGCTGCTCCCAAACTGCAACAGAGCTCTGTGGACATCTCCCTGTATTGATATTGGCAGAGGCATGACTGCATGGAGCGCCATTAGTTTCCCGCTGGAGTGATACCTATTGATCTACTCACATTTGCATGTTTTCGAACTGCTAGGTTGGCAGAAGCTGGGGCTGTCAGCGGAAGCTCATACCGCTCCCCGGAATCAAACCTGCGACCTTTCGATCAATAAGCTCAGCAGTTCAGCGCTTTAACCAATCATGTAGATTGTATTTCTCTAGGATTTTGCTAAAAACATTTCTGTATGCTAATTGAAACAGTTCACAGAAGGACAAAAATTACATTGCTTTTTAAAAAGTTTTTGGGAGCCCCTTTGGAAATCTCAATGGCCTTTAAATCAGATGAATCATCTTGCTAACCTGCCACCACTATAAAAGATTGGTTGCTGCTAAAATAAACTCTACCACTTGATAGATATAGCTTAAACGTCATTTAGAAACTTCTCAAATTGTCCAGCAGGAATCCATTCTCTCTCTCTCTCTCTCTCTCTCTCTCTCTCTTTCTCTCTCTCTCTATATATATATAGTGTGTGTGTATATATATACAGTATATAGTCACATTCCTTACAATGACTATACATACACCCACACAAACACACACATACACACATCATGCTGCTGACACTGTAACAACTGCAAATAGAAATCAGTAGCATAGCCTTTTTAGTCTCTTGATCAGTGATACCAAACCTTTTTTTGACCAGGGACCACTCTCCAACATTAGTACCAAAAGGGTTATGAATCAGTTTTGCTCAACTTTAGATTCAGTTTGGTTATTTGGGGTGCTGATTCAGAAAATTGCATTGGATCAGCTGTAGTTTCTGATAGAGAATATATGCCATCCAGTAGTCACACACCACAGAAAACCATATTTAATAAGCTTCGATACTATAAGAGAGTTTTGTGAGACCAGTCATTCTCGTTGTAGTGGTGAGGTCCCTGGACCATACTTTAGTTCTTTCAGACCACTGGTGGTCCATGGACCACAGGTTGTGAACCACTGCTCCAGATCAATGTGGAAGGGGATATTGTAGCACCTTTGAGACTATGACATTGGCCAAATATATCTGTTTGTACTACAGTTTTGCTCATAGTAAAAGATATGTCAGAACAGCAAATGGAAGCCTGAGTTTAAACATTCCAGTGTATGTTTTTGTGGTTCTGATGATCCACTTATTATGATTTACAAAATCTCATTCATACAGAATTAAAAGAAAATAGATTTCTATTTTTATTTCACAATGTTTCCCCTTAGAGCTCAGAATTTAACCTTTCAAATGTTGCTATCTTGTATCCTTTGTGCTCAAAGTCACATCAAACATTTAAGGAAATAAATGGCACACTGTTTTTCACAAGGTTCAATAAACTGGGGGCTGGGAATCTCATAAAAGTATATCCCCACTAAATCTTCGTAGTAAAGGCTTCTTACCCAGAAACAGGCCAATATATCCAAAACAGAACTTTCCCTTCCTTTGCATACAGAGCTGTTGTTACTTTCAAATAATATTAGATGTTTATTTAAACCCAAAGGCCTCTGCAAAGATAAAGAACATTGGTCCAGTCGTCTCAGTCGCAATGAATCCTGGATCGTCTGTGTCTGAATCTGAGAAAGTCTTGAACAAGTACATAGACATGGCAAACCAAACCAAGGTAAAAAAAAGTCTGTTTATCAAGTGCACATTAAGCTGTGCTAAACCATTTTTGTATACAAATAAGCCACATCTCTATATAAAATAAGTTTGCATTATACTTTGAAATATTTAAAAGATTTCCTTGATGTATATATTGTTTATTATAGTTCCATGTAACTGTGATATTTTGAAAGAAAAATTAACAAGTATATGAAAGATTAAATTTATAATTTGTATGAGAGTATCCTTTATGTACAGTTACAGCAAAACTGTAACATAATACAATCTGATTTGCTGATTTTCAAACAAATGGTGTTTTGCTAGCATAGTGAATGTTTTTAAAAAATGCAAATCAGGAAATTCTGAAATATTTATCCAAATTTTGGGTGATTGCTGTGAATGTTCACATTATGTATCATATTCTGTGTTTATTCAATGTAGGAGATTTCCAACGAACTGGAATTAGCCGTCAGAATTTTTAAGGAAATGGAAGAATTTGAAACCACAGAAATTGCAGCTTTTTCTAACAAAACTGACCTTCTAAATGAGGAACTGGCAGCACTTAACAGAAATATTAGCTTAAAACTGGACATTTTGAAGCCATATGTAGCATTTTTAAAGTCATCAAGTGAGGTACTTTTACAAAATTTTCTTTCAAAAAATGTCACAAATAAAAAAAAGCCCTGTTTTGATTTCTGTCTTTCCTTTTTCATATGGATCTGTCTCCAGTTAAAGCAGGAAGACTAAATTAGGCTACAGTAACACACTTCCTTACTGCCCTAGTTCTTCATATTCCCCAACTACCCTGATTTGAAGTGTGTGTTACTCCATTTTCTTAATTGCTTTTACAATGTCCCAGGTTCTCTCTTTCTCCTGTATTCCCCATTAGACCTCAGTGTACTTAGGTTTCTACAAAATGAGTTCAAATATAAAAGTAGTTTGCACTCATTTATCTCAACAAGGTGGAAAGGAGAGGAGGGGGTGGAGTCTACCCTTTCCAGTGGGATCCAGCAAAAGTAAACTATTGAAGCCTTTTCTAGCTTTTTTTTCTTGTTAATAACTTTTGCTATATTGATGTTGAAATGTTGGATAGCACAGTCCTAACTTGGAGGATTGGTTCAACCCCATAATAAATCCTTCATGTGCTAAAACACGATGCCTCTGAAGGATAACATTCCCAAGAGCCTACCTCAGTTTGAAGATCCTCAGGAGAGGGATTTCCCTCTATCCTACTACCACCATAGACACATCCAGTGAGGGGCCTATGGTCACTCTCAGATAATGGAACACCCCCCCCCCCAAAAGGGGGCTTGCAACCTCATCAGACGGAGCTGATTTTGGTGGCATACACCAGTTCTTCTCTAGTTTAGCCACAAAGCCCGCTGGCTCCCATCTCATGATGTACATCTACTACTGGTAGGACTCTGTGGCAAAACTGAAGAGGAAATGCCATACATCACTGTGGTGGCAATATGGGAGGCTTCCTGTGTTGCATTAGGATCAATGGGGGAAGCCAGGCAGTGGATGTTCCATCCCTGTGGGATGGGGTTTGGGGTAAGACAGGTGATGTGGGGCAACAGGTTCCCCACACCCCACACTGAACACCTCTGGATTCACCAATGTGATAAGGTTGTAGTTGGACCCCCCTCTGCAGGCAAAGGACTTTAGGTCTAGAGAGTCCTTCACTTGCTAAATGTCTGTTGCAAAAAGATGTTGATGCTTTATCATCATCATGTTTCACTTGTTTTAAATTCTTAAAAAATTTCACATAAAATCATGTTAAATGATTAATACATCTTAAATTAGTGTTACAAATGAGATTGCTGATTCAATAGTCATACCACAGATTGGTGTGGTTGTTTTTTTTGCTTGTGTTGTAGGTCTCTTGGGTCCCATTTTGGGAGAAAGGATGGATATAAATTAAGTAAAACAATGAATCTATGCTATTTTATCGTATCTTCGCTTGCAGCATCTGTTTAAGGAAATACCAAATGGTGCTTTGTATAATAGTCTCTCTCGATCAGAGGTAGGGAACATATGTGGGTCTCTGATTCCCATCAGCCCTAACCAGTACTCTCCTGGCTAATGGGCATTGCAATCCAACAGTTAAAGGCATCAGTATCCAAGCTTTTTTTCAGATGGAAACCATTCCCTCATAGGAGATTGAAGGAACTAAGTTTTCAGACGTCTCTTACAAAAAATATATCAAAAATGGAGGAACATGGCAAGGCAATTTTATTGTAGTGTTCAAACAATATTGGTATCAATGATATGATTCAAGGGCAAAATAAATTATTCTTCCTCCCACACCCCCTATGCCGAGGTAATATTAATTGTACTCATTCATTTCTTTCCCTTTAGGTCAGTGATGATGCCCAGAGGCTGAAAAATTTCTATACCACTGTTCAAGAAAATGAAGCTAAAATGGAGACCTTGATACAGTCAGCTGACACTCAGTGGCAGATGGTTTTAAAGAAAATTCTTTCCACTCAGGATATGGGGCATGGCTTTTTAAATCTAGTCAACATGGTGAGACTGTTTCTGATGCTTTATTGATTCCAGAACGGACCGTCTTGCACATTAAAAAACTCCTGTGCCCATTTAATAAAGTTTTGAGAGATGGCAGATGAGCTGGCAGATGGACCTGCTGGCACAACTGCTATTCTAGCTGAACCAAACAAACAAACAAAACTGGGGACGGGATGGAGAGAATGTGAAGTTGAGCTATGTCATATCCAAACCACCTTGAGCCCATGGACACAGCCACAATCACAGCACAAATGTAGGCTTAAGGTTAGAATAGTCCTAAGTAATTTTCATAACTCCTATGCTGAAAGGGGTTTGGATTTAGTTAGCCTAATGTTGCTCATCTTGGCAAGCTCAGATTACACTTTTACAGTATGTCCCCTGTATCCACAGGGGATACAATCTAAGGAAACAATGGATAGTAGCAGATACTATAGATGGCTATACTTAGGCTAAAAGCACACCTTAAAATCACTCTGGAGGATCTAGAGTAGCCCACAAACACTTCGGGGAGGGGGGGTGTTTTTTGCATTGTGCCCAAATGAAACTGATATCAAATCCATGGATAAAGGGCTAATAGACATGATAGCCATGTATAAATATGTGAGAGGAAGTCATAGGGAGGAGGGAGCAAGCTTATTTTCTGCTGCCCTGGAGACTAGGACGTGGAACAATGGCTTCAAACTACAAAGAAGATTCCACCTGAACATGAGGAAGAACTTCCTTACTGTGAGAGCTGTTCAGCAGTGGAACTCTCTGCCCTGGAGTGTGGTGGAGGTGCCTTCTTTGGAGGCTTTTAAACAGATGCTGGATGGCCATCTGTCGGGGATGCTTTGAATGTGATTTTCCTGCTACTTGGCAGAGGTTTGGACTGAATGGCCCATGAGGTCTCTTCCAACTCTATGATTCTATGAGACTAGTGTACTTTGAAATATGCACTATTGAACACAATAAGGTTTACTTTAAAGTAAACATGTACACAGTTGTACTAAAACCCATAATGCAATCATTATTAATATCAAAATGAGATAGCTGAATGTGAAATCTGTGTGTTTATTTTCACTTGGTTCATAGTCATCATGTAGATATAAAACTCCCAGAACCATTTAGAAATCTCACCTTCAAGAAAATAAGGTTTACTCATTTTTGTTCATTCTAATTGAATAGGTTAATGAAAATCTAATATTGAATGTGGAAAACGTTGTTCGAGTAACTGAAGATACTATGGAGATTCTGAACAAAGAAAAAGAAGAATTGACAAGACTGTGGACAACATGGAAACTTAATATGACTCAAGTGAAATCCATCAAACAACAATGTGGGAAATTTAATGAGCAATTTCAAAATGTATGTGAAATAGACAAGATGATTATTTCTCACTTTATCCTTGTAGTTTTAATGTTGTAAAGTAAAGGTGCCAGTTATCTTTATCTTTGTCAGGGCATATCAGCAAATCAATTTTCAGACTAGGTAATGTCCTTAATTTTTAAATTATATTCATGAAGGACAAAAAAGCTGGCCTTTTCAGGAACACTATGGTCGGCATCTTTTTAGTTAGCTACAATAACATACCTTTCACAAGTCTACCTGTTTTTGTAGCAGTTGAGATTTAAGATTCATTTTTGTAAAAAGCCAGTGCTTTCTTGTAACATTAGCAAGGTGTAGGAGCAGCGGTGGCACAATGGGCTAGCCTTGTGCTGGTTGAACAGCTGACCTGAACACCGGTGGTTCAAACTGGCGAGACGGTGTGAGCTCCCATCTGTCAGCCCCAGATTCCTATGCTTGGACATGAGAGAAGCCTCCCTCAGGATGGTAACACATCCAGGAGTCCCCTGAGCAACGTCTCTGCAGACAGCCAATTATTTCATACCAGAAGCGAATTGCAGTTTCTCAAATTACTTTGGACATGATAAAAAGCAAGGTGTATTTTAGAATATATATTAGCATATTTTTGTATTATTACTTGCAGACTATCCAAACCTTGAACACTCTTCAGGAGGCACTAAGGTCTACTGCTGAAGTTGATCTTGGAAGCAACATTTCAATACTTGTAGAAATGCAAAATAAATTTAACAAAATGAAACCACAATTTCAGGTGAGGAGAGAATGCAAGTCTGTGATATCCTATGCAGAAGAATTAATTTTACTTCAGTTCTATGGAAAGGCTGAATCATTTCAACTGAAGAGAAAACTGTAGAGGGAGGAATACAAATACATACCGTATGCCTATTAAAAACATAACCTTTTGTATGAAAGAAAGGGTGAATATTTTAAATGTGCATTGTCCACATTGATAGTTCTAGAAGCTGTTTATAAAAGTTGTGTTGATTAGTTTGTGTGGATCACAAGAGAAATGGAAGAACATTGACCTCACTGAGAAAAGTGCCAGGAAACATAATCCTCTGTTATATTTTGTGTCTTTGCAATCCTCCCCTCTCCACAAAACAAATTGGTTATGTACCATATATTGTACTAAAGTTCAGGAGAGATTTAAACCTTGTCAGGAACCTTCCTTGTTGTTTTTCCTTCTGCCTAAGTCTAAAATATACAGCAAATTGTCCATCACAGTGTTCCATAAAGGGAATGTGAGGGAAATAGGAAACTAAAGAAATGAAGTGTTTTTCACAAAACCACTTCATCTATGCCTGCAAGTTTTAACTTGAACTTAGTACAGTGAAACCTCTACTTAAGAGCACCCCAACTTAAGAGTATTTGAGTTAAGAGTCATCATTCAGCCCAAGTTTCACTTTGTCATAAGAGCAGTATTTTGAGCTAAGAGCTGGTGCAAAAGGGAGCACTAGTGTGGGAGGGAGCACTAGTGCGAGAGTACAGGGCTTTAGGACTTCAAGGAGCAGCCTCCATGCCTCATACTCGGGTCCACTTTGGGAGCTTGTTGTCCACTTTGTTCTTGTCCACTTTGAGGAACTTTGGGTTTGGTGATTTTGTGTTGTTTTTATTCCTGGTATGAAGAGAGAGGGGGAGAGAGAGCAAGGGAGCAAGGGAGGCTGGAATGAGTACAGTATGAAGAAAATTATGCTTCTGCCTCTTCACTTTGTGCTTTGAGCTCCCTTGCCACAACTTTGTGCTTCTACCATTTTAAAGTTGATCTTTTTAATTGCTCCATGTGAATGTGCATGTATTTGTTATTTATAATTTTTTTAAATTTTAAAACATGTAACAAAAATGGGTGTGGGTGTTTTGGGGGGATGGAATGGATTAATAGCATTTCAATAGGAAATTTGCTTTGAGATAAGAGCATTTGAGTTAAGAGCCCAGTCACGGAACAAATTAAACTCTTAAGTCTAAGTATCACAGTATCTGCTTTTGCCCTTCCCAAATGCTTTGATATAATTCTTGCCTTTAAAAAACAAATTTAAATTTAGTATTTGGAGAGAAGATGTGTCTTGAAATGCATAATTTGAGAAGGAAAAATACCTCTGTAAAATCTGTTTAAATGTGATTTTCATACAGGTTGAAGCTTCACATATATTTAGGAGAGAACAGACTTAAACACAAAAGCTTGCACCGTAAAAACACTGGTTTCTACTCCTTGCATTTTTGCATGTGTTCATTCATAGTACTGCAGTAAGAGGGAGAAATCTCTCCCTTTGGCTCTGCCTGTCTATTTGATGAATGGGATAAAACGCAAGTGAGTAAGCAACTCCCTGTTTAACATGAAAGCAATAGGTGGGATTGAATGAAGAAGACACCTTGGCCTTTCTGAGCACCATTATGGCCACCGGGAATAAATAAATGGAATTAGGTGAATTGCTGATAGTTCGAATTCATCATGACATGACTTCACATTCAGAGAAGACTAAATGGCTCATATAAAGTGGAGAGCAGTTTGCTTGGGTGAACTGTAAACATAATTCTGTTTATAATCTGAATATTTTTATTGTATCTGATTTGTTAGCAACTCGGGGCTGAGGTGGAATACACATTAAAGTTATCAGAGCAGCTGAGCTTGAAGGGAGTACCTGACACAGAAAAGTCTGAGAAAGTAAGTGAGCTCATTCATCTCCATAAGGAGATAAAGGACAGAATGGCTGAGTATGATGCAATTTTCAACAAGACAGTCAAGTTCCACCATGTCAAAGAGGAAGTAAGTAGAGTCATTGTTAGCATCATGAAAACTTGGTGTCTCAATTCAATTATATGTCTGTTTGCGTATTCATCATTCTTATTCTGCCATAAATGAATGTGAACTACTATTAATCAATAAGAACCATGGTAAAATGTTATCAGGGCATAACTCTTGATACAAATGTAAATGCCTGTGACCTGAACCTTCTATAATGTATATATCAGAGGAATGGAAGGTTCCTTTTAATGAAAACATTCTTGAATTTTCTCAGCTCGAAAATCTCATAAAATCACAAGGATTGGAGATCTCAGAAATGAAAGATGTGCCCAGTGACTCTCCACATGCTAAGATCCACCTGAATAATGTCCAGGAGAAGCACACACGTATCAGGAACCTGTACAAATTGGCCCTCACACTTGGAATGGATTTAATTTCAACAGTGAAACATCCTGTAAGTCAAAACCAAAGTAGATTGTATACCAGCACAAAGCAGAGATAAAACAGAATTTGCATTTTCCCTCCCTGGTTTATTGCTAGATTGATGAATCTCCAATAAATGTATGAACACATAGAGCTGATGAAGATACTTTGCAGTTTCTTTCTTTTTAAAAACACGATTCACTCATGAGAATATTGCTTGTTACTAAGAATAGGGATTTCAATGTGAGTACAAAATAACATCCCATTTTATTCAGGTTGAATCCAGAATTAAATTACCAATTTCAGCCTTGAACTTGCTAAGAAGGCATTGTTAGAGGTACACATGACTTTCTCCAGGTGTAATGATGACAATATTTTGCCAAAGTTGTGTAAGAGCTGTTAACTATTTCTTTTGCCTTTGTTTTCATTTTTATTTTGTTATTGTTATAGATTGTTTGTATTTATTGTTGCTTCCACATTTTACATCTTCGTTGACTTGTATGATATGTTGGCTGACCTCTATGACCCATTAAATAAGGAAACCCCACAAGAGGGACTTTGCACCTTTTTCTGGGTTCTATGGAGCCAATTATAAATGGTTACTGCAAACACAATTTCAGTTAAAAAAGCAAACCACAATACAACCTACTGTATGCTAAATCACACAGAAATAAACTGTCCCAAAAATTACTTCCATTCCTATGGAGGGCTTGATTGTGCGGCTCTTGTACATATACTGCTCACCAGTATTACAGCCTTGGATACAAAACCTAACGTTTTAAATAAAAGAAAAAAAATAAGTTCATAGGCATAATACAAACTTATATTCCCATCTCCTTCTAAATACATAATTGAAAATCCTAGTATTTCTTTCAAAGTGAAAAGAGCCTAATACTTATCCCTGACAACTATACTTCCTTTTCTCTCCTTTTCCTTCTGAACTCAGCTATTAAAAACAACCCTCACACATGTGACCAAACCAATTATTCATAGGTGTGACATTAGATGCGATTTAATCTTGAATAGCTAAAAGACATTATTAAAATAATTTTAATAACGAATAAAAAAGAAACTTCACATCTTGTTTGTATATAAACAGTATTTATTTGTTTGTATATAAACAGTATATAAACAGTTTATATACAAACAGCACTGAATCCCTTATCTTTTTATCTTACATAAAATAGTGCATCAAACTAATCTTAATGTAAAATATTTTTTGAAGGTTTTCCTACCTTCAAAAATTTATTCATTTTGATATATTCCCTATCTAACTAACCCCACAGTTCCAACCTTTGCGTCCCTAACACTCACCTTGCTCTTAACACTTACAATCCCTCTCTGGATCTGGTACTCAAGTCTTTAAGTGAGTGATACAATGGCAAACTGACTGTATGGATCAGTGGTTTCAATGTGAGAAAGCATGATCAGTGATGTTGGTCAATTCTTATATTTAAATAATCAGAAACAATTAGAGAAAATTATTTTCAGCGCTGAGTCACCTTTGAGCTGAAAAAAGCGGGATATAAATAAATAAATAAATAAATAAATAAATAAATAAACAAACAAACAAGTAAAGGATTGTTCTATAATAATTAGGTTACCAAGCCTCCATTCAGGTTTCATCAAACTTCTCTCCTAATTGGCCTCCACTCTATGGACCTCATCATGCAGATGCCCCCCCTCCCCATTTAGTTCCAGCTAAACAGAAGGCATGCATGGCTCCTTATGGAAACCTTTCCCCCCATTAGACAGGGGGAAAGGGCCAATGGAGTTACCCAAAAGACACTTTAACTCCTGTTGTTGGTGAGGCTTCCTTGCTACTTTGCCGGGGGAACAGCACTCGGTAGGTCTCACCCTCGAAGAGGAACAAAGAGCCCAAAACCCCCAGTGTGATGAAGTGGTATTTCTGAGTGGCCCTTACTATTTCATCCTGTCGCTAACTCTTTATCAGTCTTGCAAGTCTCTAGTTATATCCTTTCTCCTGCAGATATTCCTTCACTGCATCCCATGATCGGTGATGGGCTGGTTCTACCCAAACTTGACCCACTTTACATTGGCAAATTCTGCCACCACTTAGTTTCAAGGTGCAAATGTTCATTGTTTCAGCTTGATTTCTGCATCTCATTCTAGAATTCCTTTAATGTTTCTGTAAAGAACCTCCAGCAGCAGCTAGATGCCCTTGAGTCTGACAGCATTCACTGGGATTCCAAAGCTGAGAAGTATGAGGAAGAGCTGTCACACATCATACGCTTCTGCGCCACCAGAGAGGAGATACACGAGGTCTGGTGAAAAGAACTCATTAAATAATCAAAAGCTATTGTGTCTTTTGACTTCTTGCTGTTCAGTACTCTTCGTGGTTCTCTTTCTGCATTTTTTGTTTAAGTTGGATCCTCACCTTTTAAAGATGACCCATGTCCACAAATGTTGCTTATGTTTGAGTTATTTCAGGTTCTTAAAAAAGTCCACTGGAAATTTATCACAGTTATATTTATCTTAAAACCCACCCACTCATTATATAATATAAAGTAATAAACTAAATTAGTAGTGTTCTGGATTGTACTAGATCAGGCAGCTTGCAATGAATTGTATTTTTAAAATATAGTAGATCCTCCACTTTTGCAGAAGTTAGGGATAGGAGACCCACACAAAAATTGAAAAAATATAAATTAAAAATTAAATTAAAAATGGCATAGGTCAGCAATGAAGATGGCAGCAAACAATTCACAAAAGTCCATGAAAGTGAAACCCATGAAAGTGAAGGCCTACTGTGTCACCTTTCCTTTATCAAATCATATTTCCATGTATTAAACTAGTAATAGCAAAACTATTCTAAGCCTTTATTTCTGACCTTTGGTGTACCACATGGAGGAACTTTGAGTCTTGCAATCTTTTGGTCACATACACTTCCTGGGGAGTTGTGGAAGGAAGAATTCAGTACCTCCTTGTAAAACAAAGCTTCCAGGTGCAGCTCCATTCTACCACTCCCATGGCCACTGATCAGTTTCAGGAGTGCACCCAAATGTATCCTACCTGCCCCTGATCAACTGGGAAAGAAGGAGGAGCTATATGCTGAAGGGCAGCCAGACAGCACCTGATCACATCCCTACAGTCAATCAATTGGTTGAGCTTCATCTAGGGTCCCTCTTCCCAGCAGCTGCACAGCTGGGGAGAAAGTTGGGAAGCTTCTCTGGGATGACTGTTTGTATGCTGATAGACATTTATGCTCTAATTGTGGGCTTGATGGATTTTGGCCTTTATGTGCAAAGAAAAGTTCAGAAATATGAGACATGTACCTCCTGTGGCCTTAAGTGGCATATTCTGAAGTTCTCTTTACTTCTGCTTGTATTCAGTACAATACAATTTTGGAGACATTTGAAGTTAAGCCTAACTCCCACTCCCCACCTGACAACAATTTGGTATAATAATATAGCTGTTGGATTCTGAGAAACAGTTTGAAAAACAGAAGTCCTCTGGAGCATACAAAATAGGTTATTAGCGTTTAAATATTTTATGACATATAAATAATGGCAAATGACTATTTTAGCTATGTTCATAGGTCAAGATTTTTATCATGGGGGTAAGGAAATACGTGACCCAAGCACCATGTTGTAAATTGTTTCTCAAAATCTCATCAGTGTCAAAAATTGTTTCCTATGAATCAGACCAGGCTACTGTGAAAGATACACAAATTGAAATTGTCTTTGGGGTTGAGAAATTAATGCAATTCTGATGTAATTTGAATTCCCAAAAATATTTTAGAGTAAGGTAGATATGTTTAGAGAAAAGCAGATATAAGTATAAATGCATCTGCTCACCTCTATTTTGTATAGCTCTGAATCAAGTCTCATCTTCTCTGTGTGATACCATGAAATGAGTTTCATAATAGAATCCAAAGGATGTGTGACAATAATTAGGTGACCAAATTTTTTCTCAACTAGCACTGATCTTAAATAGCTTATCTTCTTTATGAGGACTTCCAATGGTAATTTCTGCTCATCGGCATATTTTGCACCAATTTTCTATAATCAACAGGAGACCAATAACTTTCTTCCACCTTCTTAGGACATGAAGTGTCTACAAGAGGAAATACATTTATGGGTTGCAGTTCACATTCTGGGGACTATGCAGCTTTAAAAAAAATGACATCTGGATATGGATAGTAATCGGGATAAAACTTTCTTATTACAGATCCAACAGACACATCATGAGGGACAAATCATGCTCCTGTGACATATTACACACTAGAAACCTTTAAGGGCTAGAGAGCCTTTAAATTGAAGTTACTTTAAATTGGGTTACAATCATTTTGGAGCATGTACTATGACTTTTTATACATGCTCCAAAATGCTGGTAACCTAATTTAAAATATCAGTGTTTGCAATATACTAAATAGAGGTCTGTATTCTGTAGAGCATACTTAACTAAGTAAATAATAATAATAACAACAACAACAACAACAACTTTATTTTTATACCCTGCCTCCATCTCGGGGCAGCTTACAGAGGGCCAAGCCCAAGGATTACAAATAAAACAGACACAGTAAAAACAATAACAACAAATAATAAAAACTTCGGGTGGCCCAAACCCTCCCCTGCAAACCTGAAAAGAAATATCATCCACTCATGCTCTGATCACCAACAGAATTGACTTCTTTCTCCCTGATGCTTGGCAAAATAGGTTGGATGTGCAGTTATGTTCATGGCAATGGTCTCAAAATTCACTGCAGGTCTTTATTCTGAACTGGCTGGGGTAGATTGTGAAATGTCTCCTTTGTTCTATTTTGGAGAACCACAGCAACATTAAAACAGTGTCCCTTCTCTCTCTCTCTCTCTTTTACTTGTTTTTTTCTTTCTTGTGTGAAAAATCACAGCAGTTGCCATCAAACATCCTTTCCATTATTTCTTACCTATTTTCAAAAAGCTGCACAGAGCAGATGCACAAATTGTATCTGAAAGGCTGTCCTGAGCCAAAACCTAGAAAATCAGTATGAGGTGTGCCGCTTTCTGTTAAAAATTGCAATGGTATTATTTTTTTTAATAACTCCACCACGCAATGAGCTACTGTAGCTATCATGCTTGCTGCAAATTTTATTATTCCTGCTTTCTGAACGCATGAAAGCAGGGGTGGCCTTATCTTAACACTAAACACTTGGGAGTCGATTCAAAGCTTGCTTCTTTAAAGTAACCACTTCTACAATTGAAGTGTTATAAGGTAGGCATTTCTTCTGCCATGTTTCTTAGGAACATGATAGACATTTCAGCCTTCCTTTTCCATGCTTCATCCGCAGTATCCCTTTCCTTACACTGTTAATGTACTTTCTCCTTCTTTGATGAATGAAATGAATGGGAGGGAAAAGAAATGGCCACAGCAGGTCAAGGAATGGCCCTGTATTAGGGCTTGTCTACATGGATATTGGACTCCAACCTTCCACCATAACAGATCTGGGAGGGTCTAAAGCATTTCTGTTCTCAGCTGGCCATTATGGGTCCTTATGGACATGGCTCTGATCTCTTGAATTGAACATTACTGTTTCTACTTGCAAATGGATTTGGTACTGTTTCATTATCCGGGCACACTCCAAAAGGGGGTCTAGACAGAGAAGGATAGTCCATTTTATGTGAGGGGGAAGCTGAAAGAGGAAAACCATTTCCTCATTTTCACTGATTATTCCCTTCCCCCTTTCCCATGTCATAAACAACTGTTGTTTCAATGACGACATGGGTGGGAGGGAAAACAAGGAAATTGTTTAACTTTTTAACCCCCCTCCCCCCGTAAAATGGAGTATCCTTCTCTGTCTAGGCTCCCTTTTGTCCTCCACCCAGACAATGAAACAGTACCATGGATTCTCCCTATCAAAAGAACCAGAACTACTCCTTCCTTTGACTGGAAAATATAGTCAAAGCTGTAGGCATAATGTAGAGAGGAATGCATACGGGTCTAAATCTGTGTTGATTTTCCACTGAGAACAAGAAAAGTGACAGCAGCTGCAGATCTTTTTACATACGAAGGATCTCTTATGGAAGAAGGCGATCCTATTTCAACCATACCCTCAATCAGAAGGGGAGCTTTAAAATCTTTTTACATGAACATGGATAAATTGACATGAGGTAGTAAAGGGAACTCAATTTCTGGCTTATTACTCTTTCCAGGGACCACATCCCTTAGAAAGAATAATGATTTCATATTTTAAAGAGGCATTTAATGTATCTTTATTCTTTTAGGAGGAATAAAGAACTTCAGCTAAGCCAAAATTAGTTTCTTGGATGATCTGATATTCCATTAGGGAAGTTGCAACCACTGCAGGTGGGGTTAAGCTAATAATGGTTATTAGAAAGCCTTTCATGTAAACTGAGCAGCATATTTTGAAGTGGGAAGCTTCAAAGGTATTTATAACGCCTATTAAAGACAGCACTCAAACAGAATGAGCATACAAGCTCCTTTTAGAGTGTATTTATTTTGGGATGGTGTGAGTGTAGATCATGTGTCCAACATTTATTTAGGATGCTTTCTAGTCCAATCAAAGTGCTGATTAGAAGCATGTACTTAATTTGTATCTTCGCAGCAATTCTGTACTAGGCTAGAATGAGCAGCAAATGCTCTGATGGACTCCGATGAATGGGGAAACCTGATTGTAAAGTGCTTCCAAAGGATGTCTTAGAGCTCTGGATTCATTGGCTTCCTACAGCTTGCTAGTGAGATTGAAGTCTCAGCCAGGATATGTGTCTTGGATTCTCACATCCAAATCTAGTCTTCTTCTTGGAATCAGTCGATAGACAATTTTCTTGCTAACAGAAGGTAAAACATCTCATAACAGATACATGTTTCTGCTAAAGAACAGACCTTTCACAATAGAAGGAAGTTTAAAAAATGGCCCCAAAGGCATCTGTAATAGTATGGATGCTTTTTCAGGTCTTCATAAATTATCTCGTTTTGAGCAGTGAAAGGGCCAGGCATGATGGCAACTGCATATTATGATGGTTAGAATGAAAATAGATTAATAGAGTGTAAGGAGCTCCAAAGCAATCCCGCCTAGTTGGGGGAGAAAGTAAGTGGTGTTTGTTCCACATTATATGACCTACAGTGTTTAAAAAATCATGACTATATGCATCCCATAATAGGTGCATGAGCTAGGAAGAGCTCTTGGGGCTTCAGATAGTTCAATGAGTCTAAGTATTTTTTAAGCAGCTTTATTTTATGGGCATAATGAAAAAACAGATTAAAAATAAGATTGCCAATATTGTATTAAAATGATTCAAATATTAACATCTGCTGCAAACCTAAAAAAGGAATGTTATACAGCTGGAAAGGAATACAAAAAAGGGCAATCACAATGAACCAGGGTGTAAACAACAGTAACAAACCTCAGGGGTTGCATGGGAGGTTAGTATTTTAAGAAAGATGAAGATAGAAGTGTATAAAATCATACATAATATAAAGGAAGTAGATAGGTAGACACACACGCAACCCTTTCTATGATCATGTAACACAAGATCATCCATGGAATTGCTATAGTGGAAGATTTGGAATAATAAAAGGGAGTTTTTTTTAAATGGCACGTAGTTAAACTGTGCCAAAAGATGCAACAACAACAAGGAAAGACAATGCTTTCAAATGGGGTTGGATAACTACATGGAAATAATGCTATCAATGACTCCCCCAGAACCAGAATGCCTTATTTGTAGTCTAGTTGCTGCTGAACATGAGCAAAAGGATGCTGTTGCACTCATGTCCTGTTGGTGACCTTTCGATAGGCAACTGTCCAAACAGAAAGCTGGACTAGATCAACCTTTGGTCTGATCCCACTGTGACTCTCCTTACATTCTTATTATCTGGAGGGATTTTCAACAGTTACAAAAATGATCATCTTGTATGTTGTGAGGGTGGAACTGACAGCTATTGTTTCGCTCTCAAGTTCCCATAATTCCTTGTGGCCTTGGAAAGATGAGGATTGACAAGCACCTGTTGTTGTTTGTTGTTCTCTTTCTGGCTTTCACTTCAGAGCACAGTTATAGCGGGTTCAATTTACAATTCCATTCTCCCTTCTTCAATCCTTTATGACACTCATTTATTGTTTTTTCCCCTTTTGTTTTCCAACATATTCCCTTTTCGTTTACCATGAGTAGCTGTAACTTCCTAGGAAAGTTCAGACAGCATTGGCTTTGCTGTGCCCCTTGACTTGGGCATTCTAGTGAAATAGATCTGTATAGCTCCTGGCGCTTTCCAATCCTCCAGAAGGGTTGCGTCTGCCCCCAGAATAGAACTCAGTGTCAGCCCAGAAATGTTCAATAGTCACAACATTTCAAATTGGGAAACAAAAATATTTTTTGGAAATGGGACTCAAATCCACCATGATGATGATAAGCTGTCTATCTTCATGTTTTAAAACCTGGAGAAACATGGAGCAGCTTCTAACAAACCAAGTGCATATAACTTCGCAATGTTGTTGCTTTGAGATGGCATTTAGTGCCATGACTTTGTAGCACAATGCTTACTCTGCCAGGGATATCCAAGAAGCAATTAATTCCTTTCTAAATACACCCTTATGAAAGCTCATGTGGATATCAAATTCAATGAACTAGAGCTTAATCACATTAGTTGTTTCGATTTCAGAAACTAGAGCTCAAATGGCAAGACCAACGAGAAAGCAGCATGTTTAAATCACAAAACCACCCAGCACATGGAGAGGAAGATAACCCGGAAAGAATAAATACCAGAAATAAATATGATCTGTAGTCCTGATCATAGATGGAATAGGAAGGTTCCAGTGGGTCATTTAGGGCGGATTGACATATTGTTTTTTCTTAAAATAATGAAGGGGCAGGCTTACAACTCCCTTCTGTGTACATGTTTACTCTTGGATCATATCTTATGGGCTTGATTAATAAGATTTGCACAAATATGTGTTCTTTATGGCATTGATTATCTGCATTAATTCTTTGTGATGTTTTTAAGTAATGGAACTGACTTGCTTTCACAACCCTTATTTATTTATTTATGACATTTATAGCCCACCTTTCACAACCATACGGCGGGTTACAGAGTGGCACAATTCGATGCCATGCATTCATAAAAGTATGATTAAAAACAATCAACATAACAATATAAAACATATATAAAAACCATTAAAACATGTAGTCACAGGTGTCATCTTGGCTTTTAGCAAATTCTGTTTTACATATTTTTCCCATGAAAGATTATCCCCATCCTTGGAAAAAAAGAGTGTGCATCCATCGAATCAATTGCTGAATGGTGATTCAGCACCTATGTACCTATTACTTTCAATGGTTTCACTCTGATTGGAACTACCAATGGGATCCAAATCTTACTTTACTCAAATACTTAGATACCTAAGTAGTATAGTTCTTAATTCATGTTATACTGTTGTCATAGTTATCCACCTTTAATTTTTTTTCAGCTCAGAGAATCGTTTAAAGATCTGAAAAAGAAATTCAACAACATGAAATTTAACTATAGCAAGAGAAGCGAAAGAGCAAGAAACCTGAAGACCCTAAGAATTCAGATACAGCAAGTTGAGGCATATTCTGAGAAAATGCAGGTAACAATTAATAGCAGTTGAAGTACTGTACTTGATGCATAAGATTTATCCAAAATATGTAGACATGACAGGCATCATTCATCAAATATTTTTCCTACAGCAGCTGATGTAACAGAACACCAAAGTTCATGTGCTCTTTTTCTTTTAGTAATTGGCTTGGGGATTTCTGGGTTTTCAAACTGGACCAGTTTTTAAATCTCTGTTTGTCTATCAGCATTATCATAGAATCAAAGAATAATAGAGTTGGTAGAGACCACATGGGCCATCTAGTCCAACCCCCTGCCATGCAGGAAAAACCACTGTTGTTATATATATATATTACAATCATTATATTACAGTCCTGTTGTTTTGATATAAACAATACTTGTATCCATTTTATTTTGTAAAATATCTGGAGTCCCAATTTAGAGGGGAAATGGGGGCCTTAAGTGGACCAGCAACAATAGCTATGTTATTTAGATTGACAAAGCGGAACACACTAAACAGATTGCAAAAGCTCAATGTATGAACTACCATGATAATCTGACTGCAATTGTACATTGGCAACTTTGCATACATATGTGAATGTATGACAGTTACCATCTTTTAAAAATAACCCTGAACATGGACTTTAAAATTTTCTCAAAAACATTGAATGGAAAATCTTGTGGGGCTTTAAAAGTCAAACCATTAGAACATACTATGGACATAACTGTGGTTGCAGAAAGCATGATTTGGGTTACAGATATAGCAGTTCCTGGGGATAATAATAATAATAATAATAATAATAATAATAATACTTTATTTCTAGACCACCCTCTCTCCCTGGAAGGACTCTCAGGGTGGTTTTTACTTTAAAAAGGCATAAAATGGGAACAAACACATCAAAATAATACAAAATAATGTTGTAAAAAAACTTACGAGGGAATTAAGCATCAAAATAAAATAAAACAAAAACAGGAACAATCCATTAAGACTAAAAACTAAAACATAAATAAACATTACAATGTACCCCCTAAAAGCAAATTATGAGACAGCAGAATTTATGCCAAACAACAGGAAAAAATGAGAAATATTGAAACTTAGGCACAGAGATTTAAAACCTCTGAGAAAAGAATACATAGTAGTTCTAGTATACAATTTTCCCTCTATTAGACAGTACAGAATGCAGACAAAGTAAGGCAGAAGGGCCATTGGGCCAGTGGTTTCCAGACCAGCAAATGCTCAAGCAGGGCATCAAGTAATGGATGTCTGGTAAGTATCTGGCAAAATCAGCCAATCTATGCAATTTGCCATGTGGTCTATCAGAGGTGAGGCCGCCTGCATCTGTTCAATCTTCAGGGTGCTGGCTCTAATGGGGTTGGCACAACACCTTGATTATATGGAAGCCATTTATGAGCTTCACGTGTAAAAGCTACAGGAAAATTAAACCACCAAATGGCCAAGAAATATTGTGGATGGATAATTAGAAAACATATGATAATAATTATATGTAATGGGTGAAATTAGAAGAAATAGAATTGGCATAGCTGTGTTTTTATAACACTGTGTGAATTAAAGGAGGGGTGAGGAGAATATAGATTTGGGAAAAATTATGTGACAATACAATTGTGTTATGTTTTTAATTCATTGCAAGTCTGTGATGCCAAAAGGCATTTCCACATGTTTCCCCAGTCCTTTGGAGTGGGTTATAGCACAGATTAGGGGTGTGCAAAATGACAAAAATCCATTCTGTTTTCATTTTGAATTCTGGGTGCCCCCCGTTCTGTTTTCGGGAAGATTCTGAGAGATTGGGGGGGGGGGGCTGTTTGGGTTTGTAATTCAGGATCTGGAATTCTGTTTCTGTTTCAGAAAGAATATTCCCAAAAAACATAATTGGGGAGGGGGGGGGGCAAAAATTCAAAATGAAAACAGAACAGATTTCTGCCGTTTCACACCTCTAGCACAGATGCACGGATGGTACAATTACCACTTCAGGAGGGAAGCATTGAAATGCAGAGACAAGTACACCACTGGTTCCCGGTCCAAGTTTTAGATAGTTGTTGAAAGCTGTAAATGTATCTTATTTCTTGGCTGACATTACATATAATACCTGTTGAACATGCTAACAATGTTGCTAACATTTATCATCGTTATTTCCTTTGGAGCAGGTACTGAGAAAGAAAGCAGAGAATTTAAAGAAGAAAATTATAGATTCCCTGCCAGCATTACCTAGTGATAAAGCTGGCATACTCTCTGAATCAATCAATGAACTAGAGAAGCAACTGAGTGAATTTGGCAAAAATATGGAGGATTACAAGCAGAATTTAGACCTCATGGAACACCTGCAGCAGCTGATGGAAGAGGTATAAAAACATACAAATGCATTTTGCGTTTGGAATAAAAGATCAGTTCTGAGATGGAGAAATGTCTGACAATGTGCAGTCATCATTTTGGATTTTGAAATGGTAACAGTGATGTTACTGAACGAGCCTGGAGTTAGATGAATATAGGTCTTTCCCATTTATCCAACTCTTTATTCAACTGTTTCCACCCTGAAGTTTAGGTCTAGTTGCGTTATTTAAATCTCTAAACCATTGTTTCTATTTTATGGAGTTTTGCAAGCTAATTTATTACAAATCAACTTCAGAGTATTGACATTCAAATACTAATTCCCCAGCTATGTTTTAATAAAAGGAAGTATTTAAATGTGTATCTAATTGAAAAGCAACACAATGAGAACAAACAACATACATCTTTGGGTATGCAGTTACACATGTATCAGATTTACAATCACAAACAATGCATGATTCAACAAGTGTGAGAGAGGGATATATATATATATATATATATATATATATATATATATATATATATATATCTGTAGGTTCTTGTAGGTTTTTTCAGGCTATAGGGCCATGTTCTAGAGGCATAGGAGAAATGCCTCTAGAACATGGCCCTATAGCCCGCAAAACCTACAAGAACCTAGTGATTCCAGCCATGAAAGCCTTCAACAATACATTATATATATCTGTCTTGAAACTGAGAAGGCCTGTTAATGTACCCAGGGTGAGGAGATTAAATGCCATACGTGAAGCAGCAGCTGTATCATAATATTATTACTAAAAGTAATATCAAGAAGAACAACATAAAATCCACCAACATTTTATAACCATTTTTCAAATGTGCTATGGGATAAGCAAGCCCAGGTGATAATTTGAATGAACAGGTAATTCTTACCAAAAAAAAAAAAAGCATGCTGTATGACATGCCATAAAAACTTGATGCATAATCCTGTGGCTAAAGTGGGGAAAGAAATTTAGTAATGCCTTCAAGACTAACATTCATTTCAGCTTGTGTTTTTGAGGATTTCGTTCCACCTATCCATTATATATTATATATTTATACTAATTTAAACTATCTTTAGTAATTAAACCAAATGTGGAGACTGTGATAAACGCCAAGCCAAATTTGATAACTATTTGGCGTAGGATGCACAATAGTGAGCTGATTTTGGACAAATCTGATATTTCAGTAGTTTGACATACTGAATTTTCTTGTGTAATTAGAAATCAGTTAACAAACATTTATACCCCCTGCCCAGAATTGATGGATTTGCTCTATAATGCATAGCACCTGATATAAAACAAATCTAGAATACTATAGGTAGGTACTATTACTTAAACTTACATTTGATTCATATCATTAATGGAACAACCTTGCATAAATTCCCAACATATATTTCACCATAAAACAGATTGTTAATAGTTTTGTGTTTTCTTTCCTACCTTAAAGAAATATTGTACAAAATAATACTTTGTCTTTCCCTCAAATCCAGCAGGTATGCCTGAGAACATGCATTTTTCTGATTCATTACTTTCCTATTTAACAATAAAGCCATTCAACTCCCAGTTGTGATTAACTGCATGACCAATATGAATATTGTAAAATACATCAAAAAGCTATATCTCATTTAAAAAAAAACAAAAACAAAACGGTAATCCTCCCAACCACATTTCAGGGATGATTAGAAGGAATATTTGACACATTTTATATGGTAAAATGAATATACTCTACAGAACATCAATGAATGCTGACAGTCATGTTAAATCAACATCAATCATACAAGTCTGTGTGTATTAATTCACACACATATACATGCAAAAACACATATATGAATTCTGATTTAAGATGACAATAAAATAACACACACACACACATATCCTAACAATTTGGTGGCATAATACATCTGAGATTGTCAAAATTCATCTTTGAACACTGATATCCACTATATTTTAGGATGGTACTCTCTGTCACATAAGAAAATAATGAGACACGTAATTATGTATTTGCTTGAGCTATATTGTTTTGTACAATGGGATTTCTGTTTCCTTTTTTCCAATGTAGTGCCAGTTTTGGTGTGAAGAAGCTAGTGCTACAGTAGTTAGAGTTGAAAAATATTCAACAGAGTGCAAGACGAAGGAAGCAGTAGAAATACTCCGCAAACAATTCAACAAGTTTGTTGAACCTATGGTCCCTCAACAGGAGGAAAGAATTCAAACAATCACTAAACTTGCTAAAGACTTATATGGTAAGTGTTAGATGGTTCATTACTTTGAAAACTGCAAGTGTGTTATTGGGTGGGGGGGGGGGAGAGAAGAATCGAGCTTTATTCATTCCAAGATACCCTTTTTTTCAAAATAAATAATGGTTAACCACATTCTTTCAATATTAAATATGCATTCTGTCAACAGAAGATGATATAATAGGGATGAAAAATATAGTTGAAAATTTATGAAAATGGTGAAACAATGTGTTTCTCAAGAGTCAGAAAACCTAATAAGAACCCATAACTGATGAGAATATTCATAGCTTGAACTTAGCCTGTGTAAAATTCATACTTTTTCCATAAAAAAACAACAAAACCCAGCATTTTCTGCAGAACAAACAGAACTTTCTGTACAGAAAATGCTGGTTTTTTGCTTTAAAAAGAGATACTGTTCTCTGCAAAGAAAATGTGCTTAATGATACCATACGGAATTTTTATGCAAAATTAATTCCCCAGCTACAGCATTTTCTGCACTGAAAACAATTTTTGTGCATTTTGACATATTTGTAGTCAATGTCAGATTTTTCAAGACTGCCTGTTCTTGGGTTCTGCTTTTTAAATAATTTAATTCTAATTTGTACAATGAGAGGAAGGATTGTCATTGAAACTTTATGTAAACCTCACACAAGTCATAACAAAGGAAATACAGAATGATAGCAATCAGGAATCACAGTATGCTGAGCGACAGCAACAGCCCTATTCAAACTACATGTTGGAAATAATTTGTTTAAAAACTCTTTGTGAAAATGGTCTACAATTAGAAGTTTATTATTTGAGTTCTTTAACATCACTGACATTCTTTTTGAATAGTTTAAATGATTGTTATCAATTTTTTACTGTACATTTCTAGTTTAGTTTTAACTATCTGAGAGAAAATTGCATCAAAAACTAGGAACTCTTAGTAAATCATATAGAATTGTATTGTAATATGGAAAAGCACTATATATAGGAAAAGGAAAGAAGTCAGAGCCACCAAAGATCCCTAACCAGAGACTCGGGATTTCACTACACAGAGCCTTTTTCTATATGTAAACAAATAAACAAACACATCTGGCCCTAAAGCAGGAGTGCAATTCTCAAGGTGTGTGTGATTCATTCAGAGGCATTTTTATGGCCCCCCAGGACAATTTTATGGTTTTGCTCAAAAATACTCACATGAAGTCTAGGGGGTGTGGATGGCATTATGGAGCCTTATTGGACCATTTGTTTCCTCAAGATACCCCCAAATGACCTCCAAGAGTTCAGCAAGGCCCCAAAGGATGCTCCTGTGATCCTACAGAGCTTTGAGGGGTCTTCAGGAGCATTTTTTGTGGGAGCAAGTACAGTGGGGGATATGTCCGATGTCTTCTGGATGGTTAATGTTCACAATTGCTCATTCCTGCCCTAAACTTAGGCATGTCCTTATACTTCTTCTGGCTAATGCAAAAAAAAAAAAGCTTGTTTACAACCTTATTTTCCTCCTCCAAATTGTAGGTATTGAAGAAGGAAAGCGGTATGTTGAGAAGTTAGGAGCAAAGTACAAAGAAGTACTTAATTCTGTCAGTGAACTATGCAGTTCCTTAACAGAACTGGAAGACAAGCTGGAGGTAATTCTTCTCTTCCTGTTACAGAAAAAGATCTTGAATATTTACATCCTATGAATGTTTGTACCAGAAATGAATGTTTAGAATCCTTGGGAAGTCTGGCTTGGCCACGGTAGTCCATGCTCTGGTTACATCCTGTATAGACTACTGCAACGCACTCTACGTGGGGTTGCCTTTGAAGACTGTCTGGAAGCTTCAAGTGGTCCAGCAGACAGCAGCCAGATTGCTAACAGGAGTGGTGCTCAGGGAACATACAACTCCTCTGCTGCACCAGCTCCACTGGCTGCCAGTTTGCTACTGGGCACAATTAGAAGTGCTGGCTTTAGCCTATAAAGCACTAAACGATTCTGGCCCAATGTACCTGTCCTAATGCATCTCTCCTTATGAACCTTCCAGGACTTTAAGATTGTCTGCGGAGGCCTTGCTCTCGATCCTGCCTTCATCACAAATACATCTGGCGGGGATGAGAAACAGGGCCTTCTCAGTGGTGGCCCCTCAGCTATGGGATGCCCTCTCTAGGGATATCAGATTGGCCCCTTCACTTTTAACATTCTGAAAAAAAGTCAAGACTTGGCTTTTTGAACAAGTGTTTGCAAATGCAGTGTAACAGACATAGGAAAATGGAATGACTGGATGATGTGACGACAATGTTTTTAACAAGGAGATGCCAATGATATATATTTTTATTGATCTTACTATGGTTTTATATTTATGTTAATGTTTATAATTGTATTTTATGGTTTTGGGGGCATTGAATTGTTGCCGACTGTAAACCGCCCTGAGTCACCTGCTTGCTGAGAAAGGCGGTATATAAATATAGTAAATAAATAAATAAATCCTACTGCTGAGCTACTACTGGCTTATGACCTTTCAGTAGAGATTAATATTATTATAGAACAAATGTGTTGGCCTTAAAGCATCATGAAAAGCCATCACTGATAGATGTAACAGGACAGCATTATACAAAAGCTTTTTGTTGTATCCAGCTGGTAATATGTCAGATATGGACAGGACTTCAGAAGACATGGCAATTTACCTACCATATTAAGGAGAGATGGAGAATGGTTAGGTTCCATCTCCCTGACATAGCCATGGAGATCAAGTAGAGCAATTCAGATAATGGCCGTTCTGCTTCTCACTGGGTTCTGTGCACAGCATGACTAAAGAGCAGTGAAGAAGCCACAATTTGGGATTCAGTGGAGTCTAATTATGTTTATGTATTTATTTTTATTTATATGGTAGATCCTGACTATTATAGAAAAGGCAAAATGCTGGGTTTTATCGTCTTTGAGGAGAAGTGCCAATTGTATGATCACGGACAGGATCATACAATTTTTCATCTTGCTTTGGTTTTGATTTATATTCTATTGTATTTTGTAGTTTTGTAAGCAGCTTTGGTTGTAGGGCCTTTTTGGCTGAAAAGTGGCTTATAAATCTTGGTATAAATAGAAGTGTGAAGCGTGGATATTAACAGAGGGCAATTGTGCGCATGTTTAAATATGTATACAACTATTTGACAAGTCAGATACTATTTTTATTGCCTGGCTCAGTGCTGCAGCTCTTCATTTCATTTAACAGGAGGACTCACAAGAGGGAAAACTAGCTAATTCTGATCATTTTGATGGTGATCACAAAGCAGAACATGAAAAACAGAAAGAGATGACTGATAAAGCGTATATGAAAGACAAGTCAAATGAGCTGGAGCAGGTTTGTGAACATGTTTTCTATCTTCACTTTGTGTTAATGAAATCAGAAATTCACACACATATCCATATAGTTTGTTTGCATAGCAAAAAGTGTGGAGATTATTTGAAGAAATAATCCTGTCTACTTAGGTACATAGTTTGCTACACATACTTGACTCTTTAGCTTTCTTAGTAGTCAGGTTTAACATGCTGATTTTTTCTATTTATGTCTTAGTTTTAGATGGGTCCAGACACATTAGCTGAAAGCCCCTTTATGCTTTGAGTCAGAAAATAACAGTTATTTCTACCATTGCTCTAAAGGTTAAGTTAAGGAATGGTTTTTATTTTAAAGAGATGATTAATCACATTCTAATTTTGCCTGAAAAAAAGTGTATGGCCCACAGGAAGAATCAGAAAAAGGTTGAACTATGGAATAACATTCAGATTTTGACATTTCAAAACCCAATATATTTCCCGTGATATTAACTCTCTCCTAGAGAAAATTATAATACTAAATAGTAATTACATTGATAACAAATCTATATTAAATTAGATAACAGAAGTATGGTGGTACTTATTGCTAATATACTTTTGTAATCCAATACTGGCTTTCCAGACACTTGAAAAATGAACCCATAGTCTTTTAAAAGCATCTATAACTCATCTATACGCTACAGAAATGATAAGAGAGCTTGGAGGAACATGCCCGGAGGGCACCAGGTTTGAGAAGGGTGACCTCAAATGATGCTGTAGAAGCCCTTCATGAGATTTGAAGGATTACATTCTCACTCTGCAAATGCTCCTTGTCACAGTACAAACCATGATTAAAGGCGAATCTACACTGACCCCTTTCCTGGGACCGATCTGGTGTGGCCTCTGACCTCTGACCTCTGAGGAGGCAGAAGGGATTTCTAACTGTCTTGCAGTGCCAAACCCAGTTTGATGCTGTCAGTTCAGGCACCCTTTCTATCTCTTCCTGTTCTTCTTGGTATGGGATTCTCCAGGAGCAATATGGGTCCTGCTGTTCAGTCTTATCTTGGAGTGATGTTGGTTGGGGTGCCAAGGATGGGGAAAGGAGGAGAGGAAGAATCGCTTGCCTAATTGCCTGTTTTCCCTGGCCAGCATCACTCCAGGTGACGACTAACCAGCAAGATCCAGATCATACCCAGACACTGTTGTGACAAGGAAGAATGAGATAGAGAATGCCATCCCATGTCTCCAGTCTTTCCGAACTCAGCAAACACTAGATGATGGTATAAACTGTTGTGGCCAGTTCCATCTTGGAAGTGACCTAACTGTTTGCATGGGTCCAAAGTCACATATTGCTTTGAAGTCTGGGGCAGAATTCAAAATAATCTGTGACTTTGGTTAATGTGGTCAAGACCACATTAAGCAGCTTTGTCCCATCTTAAATAGGATCAGCTGTGCTGATCTGGGCATCCATTTGTGCTGAGTGGTCAGTGTAGATGTGCCCTAAAATGTCATGAGACAGTACATTGATTTTGAATCGGGTAAAATAAGCATGTTTCAGCCTTTACCTGCCCCATTTCCTAGGGTATTTTTCTCTCTCTCTCCTGCCTTGCTTCCTTCTTTCCTTCCTTCCTTCCTAGGTCTAAGAGTACTTACTTATGAGAAATTTGCTCTGTTTTCATGCTATTTCCTGTGCTATTATATGTTTCTATCCACCTTTTGACCACCCTATCCTTTAACCCAGTGGTTCTCAGCCTGGGGTCCCCAGATGTTTTTGGCCTTCAACTCACAGAAATCCTAACAGCTGGTCGACTGGCTGGGATTTCTGGGAGTTGTAGGCCAAAAACATCTAGGGACCCCAGGTTGAGAACCACTGCTTTAACTAGTTTGCATAGTGCCCCCTTCCTCCCTTCCAAAAACGAGTCTGTTGTTGCTTTTGATGCTTGTTTATTATTATTTATGCTGTTTTAAATTGTTATTGTTCTGCTTTTAATTGTATTCTGCCTTGGGCTTGGGCCAAATGTAAGCCGCCCCGAGTCCCTTCGGGAAGATGGAGACGGGGTAGAAAAATAAAGTTCTTCTTCTTCTCTTCTTCCCTGACTGCTGCCTGCCCTTTGAAAAACACAGCCTGTTTTTCATGGGAAAAGGGCAGTCAGGAGAGAAGATACAAAATCATCCTTGGAATGGCCTTTATTTGTCCCTCCCTACAGTAAATTGTAACCTACCCACTCCCCAAACCCTTATAATGGCACATTGTATATGCTCAAACTGCTAGTATTGTTTATATTTATTGGGCAAAATGAAATGCCTAGAAACAACAAGCTTGGTTTTACAGTGGAGAAACTGTAAACTAATGGTTTCTGCTTGCAACAGATACATCTTGTTATTTGTGCTTTTATTGTTCTTTCAGGAATTAAATTATCATAAGCATACCAAAAATCTGTAAACTGTGCTCAAAGTCTCCCTCCCTTCCTCTTGTTCTGTTTTTAAGGAAGAGAAGGTTTTGGCTGATACTTCAGTTATCTGTCTGGCCAGTGAGGATTCTGTTTCAAAGGACACCGAACTCTTGCCTTCTGCCAAAGAGGATAGCTTTCAGGCTGAGTTCCTGGCAGAAGAAATGCCCTCTGGAGACGATGAATATGAGTGTATATCCCCCGATGATATCTCTTTGCCTCCGCTTTCTGAGACACCAGAATCCAATCTTCTGCATTCTGAAACAGATCTAGAAGAGCCACCTTGCTGTAGCTCGCGGGGACTGCATGTCAGCTCTTATACTGTGCAAATGCCGATAAATGCTGGCAGCAAAAGAATGGCTGGTGAATCTGATCCCTTAACCTCCGCTGCTTATGGTGACATGCCTGGTCACAGAAAGGAATGTATGTCAGATGAGCTAGATAGATTTTCCTCCTCGACCATAAGTTACCATTCAGAATGCAAAGTGGAATCCCCCATTGCACATAGTTCGCCAGAAATGCCTGAAGCCAGCCCTGTTCCCTGCACGCTCAAGACCAAGTCATCCTATTGCATGACGAGTGAAGTGTGCCAGACCCATTTGCAACGCCATGAGGTTCACAACGGCATGACAGAAGCACAGAGGCAATTGCATGGCATAAATAACTTTACTAAAAACCAGGATAGGCTGCATGCTTCACCCAATACATTCTCAGATCTCCTGTTTCAATCAGACGCCACCAGAAGCTGTCAGAGGCAGATGGTCACCCGAGAAGAGATTAAAAGTGTATCTGAAAAGAACCGCATGGTCAGCCTATCTGGACAGGCGCCTAACTTCTCCAAGCTTCTGTCTAATGTAACTGTCATGGAAGGTTCTCCGGTGACTTTGGAAGTAGAAGTAACAGGATTCCCAGAGCCTACACTGACCTGGTGGGTAGCTTACAATGAGAAAACTTAAATATACATAGATAAATCCCTACTGAGTCAAATATATCTAGGCACCAGTGTGAAAATCAGAGTGACATCTGCATATCACTTCACATTTCCACAGTTTTTACATTTCCAGCTGAAATCCAAATTGATCAATGTCATGTCTATACTGTAATGTAAGGCCCATACACTACCATGGTTCTCTGATAAGTTATTCAAGCACACCCAACTCAAATAATATTTTATGAATGCTATAAAATGGGACATGTTTCTTTGACAACAAGACATTCCAGTCACTTAAACTTACTTGTGCAGTTCATATTCTGACTGCTTATCCATGTGGCTAAATTTCCCTACATTTGTATACCAATTTCTGCCTTGGCCACAAACTGGAGAAGAAAGTGAAATATTTATTTTTTACTTTGTCCTGGATTTGATGTTTACCCAAATGTGTCCACTCAGGACACATGTGTGTGTGTGTGATTTAACATAAAGCAGTTTGCAATTTTAAAAAATAAAACTTAAATTGTTGATAATGTCTATTTCGGAGTGATGCTTTAAAGGCATTTGCTGGTGATAGCAAATACCTTTAAGGGGTTTCCCACTTATAGAAACCCTAAGGCAAGGCTATCATGACAAGATTTCTTCAAAGGAGGTCTGCTTCTCTTAGGTTGAGAGTATGTGACTTCCCTAAGGTCACCTTCTGAGTTTCTTTGGCCAATCAGGGATTGGAAACCTGGCCTTCTGGCTTCCTAATCCTACACTCACACTACTCCACCACACTGGCTCTGCAGAAGCAAATTTCCTTGCATTTATGGGGAATATTCTTGTGAGATCCACTAGCACCCATGTATACACACACATATTTACAAACAAACATTTGGAACTCTGATATTTGGTAAAAATCATAGAAAAGGCAATAGTTTACTTCCAATCAAGTGACCAGTGAAGGGGGGAGTAAACTAGGGACACTAATAATTTTTTATCCTAAAATAGATGCTTTGGAGTTTGTGGTTAATTTTTGGGTAGGATTTAGAGAAGTTTATAAAAGTCTCAAGGGATTATAATCTCATGTCATGGTTCCCTTTCTTCCTTTCATGTCTCGAATCGTTGCCCACTTTTTACAGCAGTGCATACTATGGATATTTTAGTTTGTTTCTGTAATTTCTAGCATTGTACACAAGAAGAAAATTGAACTAGACAGACAGAGAGAATGGAAATAACTTTTTTAAGTTTGCAAAACAGCTCTGAAATCCAAACTAACCCATGCTGAATAAAATCTGATAATTAGAATTTAACTGACAGGCAAATTAAACAATTAAAACCTATCACTGTGTTGGGTTTTGGTCACTAACCCATTCTTAAAATTTCATGGTTTTCCCCCTTCTAAAATGCTGTCATCTTCCCTTTGGAATAATGATTCTACCAGCTTTAGGCAAAGTTTAATACTTAAACAATTTTACTTAATACAAAAAAGTTCTTGTAGGTTTGTCAAACTATAAATGAAATAAACTTTTTATGACTGAATGATCTTCCTGAAGTCACAGTGTTATGAATGCAGTTTAAAAAGGGATTTTCACAATAAAAACTGAGTCTGGAACCTATTGTGCTATAATGTTGGTGGCAATAAAACCTGCTTTTCATAGTAAAACTCATAACAAGAATTCTGTATATAAATGACACTAATAGACCTAAGATAACATTCAAGCAGGCAAATAGTAGCTGAAAGTAATGAGCTTGAATGCTCTTTATTTTCTTACCATAAAAGTGGTTTTAAATAGCAGGTGGTGGGTAGGAGTGAGCGAGAGATCGATACATCTTCCTTCTATCCTGACTTTTATCACTAGCATTTGTTAATCAGCATTTGTTGTGGGTTATCTGCAGACAATTAAAAAAAGAGGTCAGTCATGGATGAAATTGCACAGATGTACTATGCACTGTTTAGCAAGACTTTACATTCCTCACTCTATCAGTTGTTTTCATATTGCCCAGCCATTACTGAATGCTGATGATCATTGGCATTCATTTCCCTTTCTCAAAAGCGGAGAATAATTATAATTGGGAGAAGGATGCTGACCTTTTGCCTGAGCATAAGAGGCATCGTACCTTTTTATTAATAGGCACAACACTTTGTAAAACTTCATTACGAGAGCAAAGGTCAACCATCAATACAGTACGACCTTCACATCTGCGTGAGAATGGAAACTGGCAGATAATAGCGAACCTTAGTGAAATGAAGGACATTTGGCGCAAGAATACCAGAGGTGGACTGGAGGATTTATAAAATGCCTAGAAGGGGTATATTTTATCAGATATGGATAAATGTAACCACAGATACCAGTTCTGAAGGTTGATTTTCCTCTCTATTTAGCAAGTATAAATCAGAAATAAATGTAATCAATTCGGTATGCAGGAGAAAATTGAATTTCAGCTCCTGGTTTCCTTGTTGTTTTGGGTGGAACTAGACGTAAAATTGAAGTTTTCATATAAATGAAATTTTAGTTCTGCTTTGATCTTTATGGACCCAAGTAAAAATCACTGCGGAAGAGCTTCAAGGGCACATATTTATATTTATGGACATATTTGTCTCTTTTTTCATCTGTTTTCACCTCTCTTTAAATATCGCTTATAATAATAATAATAATAATAATAATAATAATAATAATAATAATAATACATCACACAGTCCTAGACGCTTGGGAAGTGTTTGACTTGTGATTTTGTGATACGAAATCCAGCATATTTATTTATTTCAAATATTTGTACCCCACTCTTCTCTACTCCCGAGGGGGGGGGGCGCTCAGGGTGGCTGTATATATCTCATTTGCTGTGGCATATTGTGTTTTTGTGTCAGTAAAATAATGATGATGATGATGATGATGATGATAATAGTAATCCCCGTGGTGATTGGCACACTGGGTGCCGTACCAAAAGATCTCAGCCGGCATTTGGATCTGTGCGCATCATTCGAAAATACATCACACAGTCCTAGACGCTTAGGAAGTGTTCGCTTGTGATTTTGTGATACGAAATCCAGCATATATATCTCATTTGCTGTGACATACTGTGTTTTTGTGTCAGAATAATAATAATAATAATAATAATAATACTTTATTTATATTCTGCCCTATCTTCCCACTTCCCATATTGCTACAAAATATCAAAATATAGAGATCCATTGTTAGTGATTGCTGTTTTTTCTGATGTGTAAGCATTTGTTTGACACCTCAAATTGTTTTGTTTCCACCAACATTCATGTTAACCTGATCTGAAAACTGACTCTCTGCTTCAGGTTCCAGAAGGGACAGAAACTGACTGGAGATGAGCACATAGAGCTCTTACACAAGGATACAAAGCATTCTTTGTTCATTCAGAAGGTGTGTGACACAGATGATGGCCTCTATGTGGTTCGGGCAAAAAATTCTAGTGGCACAGTCTCCTCAAGTGCCATCCTCCATGTGAAAGGTAACGGGCCACCAATACAAAGAATAAACTGGATAGTCCTCTGTGCCCTCTTCTTGGTTGTATCACTTGCACACTGGCTGTTCACTTAGTACATCGCACACTGACTTCACTGGACTTTAATTCTCACAACCGGAGACAACAGCAACGGGCCATCTTTCACCACACTTCACATCACCTTTGTCACTTTTGCTTATGCGTCACTCTGGATATAGCGAGCTTTTTAAAAAGTAGTAATATCTCAACTATACTAGATGATGTTATTATGTTATATGTTATATGTTATAGTAACATGACGTGGGAAAATAGGTTTTGTAAAAATAATCTAATTGGGTTTTGTGCCATAAAGAAAATATGCTTTAGAATCAAAACCAACCAAGAAAAATGTCTTAATGGATTATGATTTGAGTACAAAGCACAACATGATCACTTAAATAAATGTACTACTGAAAATACTAGGGCTGCTTTAACACCACTTAATGAAGATGGCACAAATGGTTAATATAGCTGCTTCTTTGTATGTTCGCTATTCTTGTTATGTGCATTCTCAAGTTATGGTGACTCCATCTCAGGGTTTTCCTAGCAAGATGAGCAGCCATTGTCTTCTCTTTGGTTCAAAAAGTGGAACTTGCTCAAGTTCACTCAGTGGGTTTCCATAGCTAAGCAAGGATTTAAACTCTGGTCTCCCAGGGTCCTTGTCCAATTCCTAAACCATGCTGTCTCACAACTGATATAGCATATAAGAAGTCTTAAAGAAGCTAATTTACATTATCTCAGACACCTGAGACACTGTACTACAATTGCTTTCACTGGTTTTATATATTGTCAAGATATAAATATGCAAAACTGGTTTATGGAGATGTTTTCTTAACATTTTAATTTGCTCTTAAATATTTCCAAGGACAACAAAAACATTTGAGATGATAGTAATGATGATGAGACATGTCTGTTGCAATACGAATAAAATAAGGGCATGATAATATATATTCTCATAGTATACATATTAATGAGCATGATCTACTTTTGTTAAAGTAAGAAAGAATGGACAGTTATTTCACAATGGGTAATACTCAGAAAGAAATAATTTGCTTGAGAATTGCACAGGTTTTATTTTCTAAATGTGGATATGGAGCGACACCATATTATTAGAATTTCTTGCTTCACAAAATGTATTATCTTTGATTCACAGAACAGTGTAATGCCAATTTTCACAAAGGTCAGAGAAGAGATGCTTTGAGAATGAATCCAAAAACTGCCCTGAGACCCTTTATTGAGGGGAAAGCAAGATATAAATGAAGCAAATAAAAATATTTGAAGAGACTGTTTGCTTAGAATTTTTCACCATATTCAGATAAGAAGTGAATCATCATTAATACCTCCTGTTTTGAAAGGGTACAAGGCATATATTATATCTATCAAGATTTTTAAAAATATTTGATAAATATTTGTGTATTTCTTGAGGAATAACTTTATTTTTCCTATAATGACTGCTTTGTGGGAAAATATATAAGGAGGAAGATTTCTAGCCTCATGAAAGAAATTTACAATGTGGAAATAAATCTTCATACACACAGCATTATGTGGAAAGAATATCTATTGCAAATGATGAGGGTTAGCCAGTATAAGATAGAAAGTGTTTTTAGCTGCTAAGTGCAAATTTATAATAGGAATGTAAAACTGAAGGAAAATCTGTCTTCCAAGCACCAACATCCATCCTTGCTGTAAGGAAAGTCAATTGATTCAAGAAGACAACCCATCCCCATCCTGTGATCAGAATATATTTTGCATTTGATGGGTAGCATTTCCCTTATATAAAAGTTCTGCATTGAAAAAATCACCACAACTCTATAAAGAGTTCTGTTGAGCAAAATGCATCTTTAGAAAGAAAATTAGGAAAATCCCTTTTCTTGATGGACTGTAAGGAAAAAGAAACTCAAATTCCAAATAGTGGTTCTGGTATCAGCGTCATGCTTTTCCCCCAAGGCAATATAGTTGTGTTCGTGTGTGATTGCACACATACAAACTCATCCGTTGGCAATAGCCGTGCTCTTGCATACGTGAATGCACCATTCCAGAAATATCTCAACAGATATATTGTCAATACAGCACCTTCTCAGATTCCAGAGTCCATTTATATATCTAGCTTGGCATATAAAGTTTTAATTAACAATCAAGATGTACAGTGGCATGTGTTAATTCGTGTAAACTAGAAAATGAAAAAAGAAAGAAGCATTTCCTTTCCTAATAATTACCTATTCAATGCCTCAGTTGGAGGATGGATTTTTTTTTAAAAAAATGTGTAACTGATTGCTCCCAAAGTAATTATTGCTATTGATACCAATAATAATATTATCTTTATTTATACCCTGCCTTTCTCCCTGTGAAAACTCACAAGCACAGAATCTCGTCAGATTAAACTAGAGCAAATAAAAAAACAATTAAATATTAGTATGTGTGTATAAAGTTAAAATACGAGTAAAATACAATAAATACAATTAAAATTACATTTAAAACACAATCTCCCCTAAATCCCACTCACAACCTCCCCGGCAGTGTGCCCCTCATCCTCTTCCAAATGCCTGCTGGAAAGATCTTGACTTGCCTGTGGAAGGCCAGCAGGGAAGGGGCCCTCCTGGTCTCTCTAGAGAGAGAGTTCCAAAGTCTGGGAGCAGCCATCGAAAAGGCCCTCTCCCTTGTTCCCATCAAATGTGCTTGAGCATTTGGTGGGAACCCTCCCCAGATGATCACACCGTTCATAAAGAAAGATATGGTACTTCAGACAACCTGGGCCAAGCCATATATATTGGTCACTACATCACTAGCTAGTTTTCTATTTCCTTCTAGTTCTTTTTTCCAACAAAAAAAACTTTAAAATGCAGGTGCAATGCTTACAAAATGCTTCCATAGCATTTCAATTTCTCCCCTGCCCCAAAGTAGCAAGTACACATTATTTCTTACACTAAAGTTGTTACGATGTTACCATATTTTCTTGAGTCTAATGCTCACCTTATTTGACTAAATTACATCGCCAAAATTGAGGTTAGATTTGATGGTGTGTTAAAATTATGCACATAAACCCACCTGTGTGGAAAGAGATCCAGAGACCAGGCAGGGTTTCAAAGAGGATATTCTCATCAATGGCTTCAGAGCTCTGTGGTGCCCGGAGAAAAACAAGGAGCACCCGACTGGTGACCGGATCATTCCTGCTACTTAGCCGAGGAGGGGCTGCTGATCTTCAGGCCTCTCTGGCCAAAGGAGCAGGAAGCATAATCCTCTCTGCCTCCCTCTGGACCAGAACTCGTCTGCACTTCCTGCCTCCCAGGCAGCCCACAATGTCTCTTGCTCACCAACCCCTAAGGCTCAGTCCTACGCCGTTCCTAGCTGGCTTCATTCATGAGGCCTTCAAAATTGAGGGGGAGGTGTTGAAGGCCTCATGAAGGAAACTAGTTGGGAATCACACAAGACTGGACTGACAGAAGGATGGGGCTTTCCAAATGCCTAATTCATGCTGCCTGCTTCCCTGACACACTATGTCTGCGCCATTGGGCACATTACACTTGATGGCAAATCATTTTTCTTTTGCAATGTGCACCTTCAAAATTGAGGTGTGCATTACATTCAATGGCACGTTATACTGGAGTAAATATGGATAGTTCTTTTTTCATTGATACTCCAACAAATAACAGGTCATATGTGATGCCATAATGTTTAATTCTAAAGCATGGCCTCAATCTTGCTAAAATCAATGAGACACAATTGCTTTTGACTGGACAGCTGTGAATGTATTGATTTCTTCCAAAAAAGTGCTGATGTTGGAACAAACCTACACACTCAACTGCCTTGGTGAAAAAAAGGAAGTCTTGTACTTGATATTTTTAGTCCTGTTGGAATCACACTTGGCGTAAAGGAATCAAGTGGAACAACCCTTGTGTCTGTGGGATATATATTCCATCCTTGCTGAAACCATGCATAATAGTGAAGCTTAAATTTTGCCTATAATTGAGTAGGAAGCATAATATATAATCACACTGGAAACCATAAAGGGCCCCACAAACACTTTGCGGGTGGGGATGTTTTTTGGAGTATATGTGAAATCATGGATATCAAATCTGTAGATAAAGGGGTCATATTGTATTCACCACTCTCTTCACTCTACTCCGCTTGTGTCCAACCCTTTTAATAAGAAAGGAAGAGCATGGATATGTCCATATGGTGACTGTCGCTTGTCTAAATATCTTGTCAACATCTTCAGGCTCTATCAATTGAAAATACCTATTTTTGTTGAATACACATGCGCCAGACTTATATCCACTGGAACGTTATCAACTAAAGCATCCAAGTCAGAACAACATGAGCAATGTGCAAATTGCCATGCAAAGTCTTCACAGCAGGCTCTCAAGTGATCTGTGTTCTCTTCTTACAGGCCACTGATCACTTGAAACAACTAATTGAATGGTTCTCTGAATATGCAATGGTTGCAGAAAGCAATAATGGATTTGCTGACTACACTGCCACAGATTTGGCCTTTGAATGGGCTCTAGCCCATGGTTAGGGACTGTGTTGGCTGGAGGGATTGTAGGTCCACTATAGGCTTTGTGAACTGAACTGACCAATGGTTCTCACATCTCTTCAACTTTGGACCAATGTTTTCTTGTCAGAAAGCACACCTGTAGTGAAATAAGCCCTTTCTGAGAATATTTTATTTATTATTTATTTATTTCCTATATTTATACCCCACCCTTCTCCCCCTGAAGGGGGACTCATTATGGGTTTTTGGAGGTTCTTCACTTCAAACCAGTCAAGAATTCCAGAGGCCATCCAGAGCTTTTGCAGAATCACATCTGAAACAACAGGAAAAACTCCAAGAACAGCCAGAAAGCCATCTAGATCTATCAGCCTCTTGGGTGGACCTTTTTTTTAAGTATACTGCCCATCTAGTGCCATTCAGGCCTGTAGCGAGCGAGGGGGTGGTTTTAGGGGTTCAAACCCCCCCCGAAATGTTTCAGATTTTTTTTAAAAAAACCTGGTTTACTCATGAATTTTAACTGGTTAACCAAATCCCCATGCTAAGTCTATGAGATGCAAAAAATTAAGAGTCCCTCCAGAACTGCAAGCACTATCTCAAGCAAATATTGACAATTTATTCACACTGTCATTACTTGCAGCAATAGCCGATGTAGTGAAGCAACCAAGTTGGGTGTGTGTGTGTTGAATGCTCTCATTAAGGAGGCCAGACTTGGTGGAGGTGGTTGACAGGGGCGGAGCTGCAGGCTATTGAAGGATGCTCTGCCCCCTGCTGTGCTCTTTGCTTCAGCGTGAGCTAGGAGGCAGGTTTCAACCCCCCCCCCCCCCGAAATTTTCAACCCCCCCCCCAATTTCAACCCCTCCCGAAATGTTTTTCTGGCTATGGCCCTGGTGCCATTGGACCATTCTTTCATTGAATAAAATTTGGAAGGATTTGCTCTACTACCCAGTTAATTGCTTTCTACATGCAGAGAATTGATTAAGAGTTCACTTTATCTGTCCATTTTTCTTTTTCCTTTTTTTTAGACATAGAAAACTACCAAAACTATACTACTACAATTGAACTAAGCAACTATTTAAAAAACAGAATGAATATGTGTGTACTCAAAACTACTCTCACACTCTCTCTCTTATGGTTGTTACCGCTTATTAATCTACTCCTTTTAAATGATACCTACTTTAGACAGCATTCTACAAATTCATCAATCTCACACTTGATAAATACTCCATCGTTGTGAAAAAATGATGAATAGGTGCCAATCTTTCTTAAAGCGAGTCAAAGATTTCCTTAATCAGCATAGTTAACTGGTCCATCCTGACTGTTTCACTGATTTTCATCAGCCATTCTTTTTCTGTTAGGTAACTGGTTCCTTCCATCTCTGAGCATATATAGTTATTGTGGCATTTATTTATCCATTTATTCTGATTGGCATTGCTAGAAATCCAAGCTGGATGTTTCCTTTTTCTGGAAGGGGAAGGGACTCTAGTTCCATTCTTCCCTCCCTTATAAGAGTCTGATCGGTGCAATATGAAATGTGCTTCTGTCTGTCTTTTGACATATGCTCTTGCAAGCTTACATATGGCCATGTGGATCTATTATTAGATTATTAGATGGTGGCAGGTTCATTTCATGGTATATAACAGAAGAACTTTTCCCTGGCTAAGGGACAGAATAGTATTCGCCTATGAGAAAACTTCTTTACCTAAAAGATTAGACTTATTTTATATTTTAAATTCATATACAATATTTGGGAAGGTCAAAACGCAAACTTGTAAAGCAAGGCAAA